TTTGGAATGTGTTCTAGGGCCCTTTAGGAAACTTTCCAGCAACTTTCAAGCCATTTCATTTTTTGGCCAAAATTGAAAAAAATACAAGGGGTTAGCCTTACATTTTAAGTCAAATTTGGCCAAAAATTGACTTTTTCTCAAAACAAGGTAGAAATTCATCTGGATGCAAGAGGAACACCAATCAATACTCTCACGTGCATAATTGTGAAGATTTGGGCAAAAATATCCATTTTTTTTAAAGAAACAAATTAACAATTTTGAATGATCATACCTTAAATTTTCGATGAACTTCCCGTTTTTATAGCACATCTGTCCAGAAATCGATTTGGAATGTGTTTTGGGGCCCTTTAGGAAGCTTTCCAGCAACTTTCCTGCAATTTCATTTTTTGGCCAAAATTGAAAAAAATACAAGGGGTTAGCCTTACATTTTTAGTCAAATTTGGCCAAAAATTGACTTTTTCTCAAAACAAGGTAGAAATTCATCTATGAAATTTCCGTTTTTATAGCACATCTGTCCAGAAATCGATTTGGAATGTATTCTTGGGCTCTTTAAGAAGCTTTCCAGCAACTTTCAAGCCATTTCATTTTTTGGCCAAAATTGAAAAAAATACAAGGGGTTAGCCTTACATTTTAAGTCAAATTTGGCCAAAAATTGACTTTTTCTCAAAACAAGGTAGAAATTCATCTGGATGCAAGAGGAACACCAATCAATACTCTAACGCGCATAATTGTGGAGATTTGGGCAAAAATATCCATTTAAAAAAAAAAAAAAACAATTAACAATTTTGAGTGATTATACCTTAAATTTTCTATGAAATTTCCGTTTTTATAGCACATCTGTCCAGAAATCGATTCGGAATGTGTTTTGGGGCCTTTTAGGAAGCTTTCCAGCAACTTTCAAGCCATTTCATATTTTGGCCAAATTGAAAAAAAATACAAGGGGTTAGCCTTACATTTTTAGTCAAATTTGGCCCAAAACTGACTTTTTCTCAAAACAAGGTAGTAATTCATCTGGATGCAAGAGGAACACCAATCAATACTCTAACACGCATAATTGTGAAGATTTGGGCAAAAATATCCATTTTTTTAAAGAAACAAATTAACAATTTTGAGTGATTGTACCTTAAATTTTCGATGAACTTCCCGTTTTTATAGCACATCTGTCCAGAAATCGATTAGGAATGTGTTCTAGGGCCCTTTAGAAAGCTTTCCAGCAACTTTCCAGCAATTTCATTTTTTGGCCAAAATTGAAAAAAATACAAGGGGTTAGCCTTACATTTTTAGTCAAATTTGGCCAAAAACTTATTTTTTTCTCAAAACAAGGTAGTATTTCATCTGGATGCAAGAGGAACACCAATCAATACTCTAACGCGCATAATTATGAAGATTTGGGCCAAAATATCCCCAAAAAATTCAAGAAAACAAAACAAAACAATTTTGAGTGATTATACCTTAAATTTTCGATGAAATTTCCGTTTTTATAGCACATCTGTCCAGAAATCGATTCGGAATGTGTTTTGGGGCCTTTTAGGAAGCTTTCCAGCAACTTTCAAGCCATTTCATTTTTTGGCCAAAATTGAAAAAAAATACATTTTTAGTCAAATTTGGCCAAAAACTGACTTTTTCTCAAAACAAGGTAGTAATTCATCTGGATACAAGAGGAACACCAATCAATACTCTAACGCGCATAATTGTGAAGATTTTGGCAAAAATATCCATTTTTTTTCCAAGAACATAAAATAACAATTTTGAGTGATTACACCTTAAATTTTCGATGAAATTTCCGTTTTTATAGCACATCTGTACAGAAATCGATTTGGAATGTGTTCTAGGGCCCTTTAGGAAGCTTTCCAGCAACTTTCAAGCCATTTCATTTTTTGGCCAAAATTGAAAAAAATACTAGGGGTTAGCCTTACATTTTAAGTCAAATTTGGCCAAAAATTGACTTTTTCTCAAAACAAGGTAGAAATTCATCTGGATGCAAGAGGAACACCAATCAATACTCTAACGCGCATAATTGTGGAGATTTGGGCAAAAATATCCATTTAAAAAAAAAAAAAAACAATTAACAATTTTGAGTGATTATACCTTAAATTTTCTATGAAATTTCCGTTTTTATAGCACATCTGTCCAGAAATCGATTCGGAATGTGTTTTGGGGCCTTTTAGGAAGCTTTCCAGCAACTTTCAAGCCATTTCATATTTTGGCCAAATTGAAAAAAAATACAAGGGGTTAGCCTTACATTTTTAGTCAAATTTGGCCCAAAACTGACTTTTTCTCAAAACAAGGTAGTAATTCATCTGGATGCAAGAGGAACACCAATCAATACTCTAACACGCATAATTGTGAAGATTTGGGCAAAAATATCCATTTTTTTAAAGAAACAAATTAACAATTTTGAGTGATTGTACCTTAAATTTTCGATGAACTTCCCGTTTTTATAGCACATCTGTCCAGAAATCGATTAGGAATGTGTTCTAGGGCCCTTTAGAAAGCTTTCCAGCAACTTTCCAGCAATTTCATTTTTTGGCCAAAATTGAAAAAAATACAAGGGGTTAGCCTTACATTTTTAGTCAAATTTGGCCAAAAACTTATTTTTTTCTCAAAACAAGGTAGTATTTCATCTTGATGCAAGAGGAACACCAATCAATACTCTAACGCGCATAATTATGAAGATTTGGGCCAAAATATCCCCAAAAAATTCAAGAAAACAAAACAAAACAATTTTGAGTGATTATACCTTAAATTTTCGATGAAATTTCCGTTTTTATAGCACATCTGTCCAGAAATCGATTCGGAATGTGTTTTGGGGCCTTTTAGGAAGCTTTCCAGCAACTTTCAAGCCATTTCATTTTTTGGCCAAAATTGAAAAAAAATACATTTTTAGTCAAATTTGGCCAAAAACTGACTTTTTCTCAAAACAAGGTAGTAATTCATCTGGATACAAGAGGAACACCAATCAATACTCTAACGCGCATAATTGTGAAGATTTTGGCAAAAATATCCATTTTTTTTCCAAGAACATAAAATAACAATTTTGAGTGATTACACCTTAAATTTTCGATGAAATTTCCGTTTTTATAGCACATCTGTACAGAAATCGATTTGGAATGTGTTCTAGGGCCCTTTAGGAAGCTTTCCAGCAACTTTCAAGCCATTTCATTTTTTGGCCAAAATTGAAAAAAATACTAGGGGTTAGCCTTACATTTTTAGTCAAATTTGGCCAAAAACTGACTTTTTCTCAAAACAAGGTAGAAATTCATCTGGATACAAGAGGAACACCAATCAATACTCTCACGTGCATAATTGTGAAGATTTGGGCAAAAATATCCATTTTTTTTCTCAAGAAAATAAAATAACAATTTTGAGTGATTATACCTTAAATTTTCGATGAAATTTCCGTTTTTATAGCACATCTGTCCAGAAATCGATTTGGAATGTGTTCTAGGGCCCTTTAGGAAGCTTTCCAGCAACTTTCAAGCCATTTCATTTTTTTGCCAAAATTGAAAAAAAAATACAAGGGGCTAGCCTTACATTTTTAGTCAAATTTGGCCAAAAACTGACTTTTTCTCAAAACAAGGTAGAAATTCATCTGGATGCAAGAGGAACACCAATCAATACTTTTTAAGAAAAAAAATAAAAATTGTGAGTGATTTTACCTTAAATTTACTACGAAATTTCCGTTTTTATAGCACATCTGAAGGGGGGGGGGGGGGGAAAACAATTTTTGAGGGATTTTACCTTAAATTTTAAGTAAGACAACAGTAAAAAGTTCATCTCAAGAAAACAAAATTATCTTTTGAAGCATCACAATTTATTATCTTATTTAGTACTTATAGTTCCTTAGCCTCCATTCTTTTTTTTTACATTCATTTACATTTGTACCAACCAACTCACTAGGAACGCTCCATTTGTGCACCCTTAACTGTAATTATTTGAAGAAGAAAATAAATTGTACTTTTTAAACCTTATCAACATGAAGCAACCCAATATACACAGTCCGCAACTTCCAAATTCATTACCCTAATTATACAGGCAGCGTACTGAATGAAATTAATTTATCAATAAAAATTGCACAGTTAGTAGTAAGCAGTGGGGATATTCTCAGCACCATTGAAAAACAATTCCTTTGTGATATACCATGATGCCATCCCTTGAACAAACGTTTCCTCCCCTATAGTTACTGCTTTTGACATGAAATATGCAGCATATAACATTTGCATTTAACGACCATGTTGAAATTGAAGCAATTACACCATGGCGCGAATCAGAAAGCAAACACAACATTTGTGATGTCAGTAGCCCTGCTATGCCCAGTGCAGTGGCAAAGAGTATTATCAGACCTTTCAAAACATTTTAAATTTGCCTGACTAAAAGGGTTTTGAAAGGTGAAATAGTGCTGGAACTTTGAAACTTTTCGAAAGGTTTCGGAAGGTGAAGCAACTCTGTGGGCAAATTCAGTAAGTTGCATTTCAATACCTTTCGAAAGGAATTGAAAGGTGTGGTAGTGCAGTAACAATAAATTCTGGAGGATTTTAAAAGCTCCACCATTTTTTTCTCCTCCAATATTTGCCAGCACCCAGATTTTGAGGTGTTTTGAATGGTCTAACTACAGGAGAGATGATACTCTTAAACTACTCTACTGAAGACAATCAAGAAACACAATAGCCATGAATGCAAGGGGCGGCCATGGTAAGAAATATATTGAATGTTAGATCTATTCCAATGTACAGGTCTTAGGTTTATGACATCAAAGTCAGGCATGCAACCGAGAAGCAACCAATAAAAAAAAGAGGAAAAATCAAGCTTTACAAGATTTTATACAGTGTTGTTTCCCCAGTTTTTAATGATGTAAGTGTGAAGTGAAAAACGAGGAAATCGGCTGATCCGAGGCAAAGTTGCATCCCTGCAAATTTCCTAAACTTCTGAAAACTGATATTAACAACTTTGGTTTCAGATCAGATAGATTTCAACTCGGAACATTTTTGTCATGAAGCTTCTTCCATTCCTGATTGGTATACAGAATTTTGATGACGTCCTACTCACTGCGTCATAATTATTGTTACGTCAAATTGAATGGCAGCAGAGTTAGCAAAAAGTAAATATGAATGTATACATTTTGTGCGCAGCTTTGGGCTGAATGCCACTCAAAAAGCAATGCAGCGGAATTCCATATAATAAACTAATGATCTGTATTTAAAACTGTGCAGATGTTTATAAGAATTTATACATTCCGGAAAAAATAGCAGTTATGAATATTCAATTTACCCCAGAAGTCTAAATGATAAAGTCTATATGTTTTTAAGGGAATTACAAATCAGGCTTTTTAAGTTTTGACTGTTTTGTGTTTGCTAGTGTCTACAATCTGAAGAGGTCTGAAGATAATTTACTTCTTAGTCCTATAATAAAATTAAAATGAAAGACAATGTTCTAAAGCTAAAGGAAAGTCATTAAATAGCCTACAATAGTTTTAGAGATTGAACATAATCATGGAAGTATTTGTATAACTGCTATTTACAACACAAGAATGAACCATTATGGCATGTCATCCATTCAATTTTACCCTAAGTTCAAAAACAACAAAATAATGCAATCTTCAAAAGCAAAAAATTGTCAAACAAGTTTCTGCCATTAAACTTACTAACTAGCGAACGCCATTTACGAAATCTTGGCTTTGTCTCCAGCTCTGTATCCAGATCAAAACATTTTGAAGGCAGTTAAAGTTAAATTTTGTTTTGATGAAATATCCAGCTCACTAGGTTCATGACATGGGAGATTTGACAGTAGACTGGTGAATCTCCAATGTCATGAGCCAATTGAGCTGGATATTCTCAAGCTAGGAATGATCCCATTCTCAAAGCTGATATAGACTCACATTGAGTTGAAATCATGGAACCAAAACTTGACTTAATTCAAGGTTTGGTAAATGCCTTAGTTGCTCCTTACATCTCCTTACATATTGAGGTGGTCTTAAACAAATTTAATTACTGTTTACAAATACAAACAAATTACAACGAAAATATCTTGGAATTATAAAAGAAAAACGCTTGTTATTAATTACAGAAGAATTGCACAATAATTAATGAAAGAAAAAGATAATTGTTGGGATTTTCAACAAATCGTTTTTGTTTAACAGTGAGATGTTTTCTGAAAAATACCTAGTGTGGAATTGTTTTTCTTTTCACTACGTAAAAGACACAGCAGTATTTATTGCTTACCAGTGAAGGCTTCCATATTAATAATACAGGCTAAAATTTGGCTGGTAACCTGGCCACATTCACATGTATTTTAAACGAAATTAGAAGTTAGGAATGACTTCCGCTAGTTCAGGAATATTTTGAAATTTCTGCATCAAAGAAAATGCATCTAGGATGTTGTATGTTCACAAACAAGCACCCATTTACACTGAACATGCTAAAGCCCAAAAGAAATCAAATCTAAGATGTTTGCTGCATGATTTAGGAAAAAGACAAGTTTTGAAGTTGATGTTGCACTGACTGTCTGCAAAAGCTATCTGCTGCCCTCGCTTGGACATCTGATAATAAACCCAAATCTTGGCTTGAGTGTGACATAAAACAGTACGTAACGTATGGCCACTAGTGAAATGGGAATCAAAACAGATGCCCAACACTATTCACATACTATACATACATGTACATGTTTGTCCGATGCAATGCATTATGTATTTCATTATTTATTACGACCAGACCACAATAATGACAGAGCTCAGGGGAATGAATTAAACAAGTTAACTGAACATAACTGGCCTCACATGAAAGAGCATTGTGAAATTACACTGTGCGTCAAGATACAACTCATATATTAACATTATGATATTCCCAAACGCAAGATTGGTGGTTACTTTTTTTAGTTTAAAAAAAATTATAGTTTGATTTTTAAAACATTTGTTTATTGACATACATAATCATGAGTTACAGAACTCTTTACAGTCTAGCTCTCATATTTTTTTCTTTTAAAATTAAAATCAATATTATGGTTATTCAGCAGTCACATGAAAAAAAAAGTATTTTAAATAATATTCATTACAAATAACGGTCATACAATTAACATTAACAGTACTACTCCAGATACGTTGCTGACTACAAGATTGACGGTGCAAATAGTTGACAAATCATTGTTCTAATGTAGGTGGCACACTGTATTTCAACATGAGTTATTCAAAAGAAAATGTTCTTTGAACGACTTAAGCAGAACATTTAACCTAACCATTTTAAAGTTGAGTTAAAAATTTCGTCTTGATAGTTCCATGGTTCTCTACAACATGAACTAAGGTACTGTACATGCACTGGTACAACCACCGTACACTAATGTTTTTTTTGTCTTTCTTTTGTTTTTATTTACAATTCTTTGACACCAATAGAATTATTGCCAACATCAGTTGTTTTAAAGGCGCATTTTATGCAGTACAATGGTTTTAAGAATCAGTCTTCTGAGTTGATATTCTACACGCACAAAAATAACACTAACAATTTTCTACAAGTGTGCTACATAACATATGGGTTCACATTTTAGTTTTTACTTTTAGAAGTATGAGAGAACATATATTTCTTAGTTAGAAATTCAACCCAGTGATTAAATGTGAATCCAAATATAACCATTTTTTTTATTTAAAAAAAAAAGGATTGTTTTTTTAACCCTCAGCATTTCTTCCCGCACATTTGCTCACAGTTGGTAACCTATGAAATGTTACACTTGTTTGACATGCTCACCTTATGGAGAAGACTACATCAGTAAAGAAATCATGACATATGAAAAACCAGCTCAAAATGATTAATTTTTTTCTCGCATGGGAGATGTCGTGATATGTAATTTATTGTCTGAAAATCGCATTTGGTAATAAAGGAATGTTTGCACAAGTACTTCACAAATAATGTACAACCAAAGAACAAAAAATATCAGCTTGGAATGATAGATCAACAAAACAAATAACATAAATATTTGACAATATCAGTTTGTTTCTCTTTTCCATAAGCTTTACATGATTTCAACACAACTGTGTAAAATTGTTTGAAATCCAGCTTAATCCAACAAAATCAAACAGAAGTCTTATAAAAAACAAGCACCTGCCGATCATTTTTTGGGGGTGGGGTCATTTGTCCAAGTCAAGAAGAATTCCAATACAAAATCAAACCTTAACTGACCAGAAAAAATAACAAGAATGCAACAAATGAAACAGGAATCCACTGCATTTTGCCATTCACTGCATTGATTTTGAAGGCTAATTACCAGTTCTGGATCCCAAAATAGTTAAACAGATTTAAGTAAAATTCAATCAAATTCCCAAGGAGTCTAAAAATTTCAGATTTTTGTTGGACTAAGCAGTGTCTGTATATAGATACCATTGGGTGGGTGTTCCTGGGCTTGACTCTGAATACTTATCTGTGACCAACACCCCACTGTACACGTATAGAAATGTGGAAAAATACTTGAGGCTGGAAACAAATGGGCCTCGCTGTCAAATGAGCTAAATTCAATTAACAATTACTTGCTACACTAAGGTCATGCAGGACAAATATATGTTTTCATGCTGATAGACAGTGAAAAGTTTGGGGGAGTGGGAAGGGGGGGGGGGACACTGAGGGCAAGCACACCACAGCATATATTTTGCTTGCCCGAAATGCAGTGACGTGAACGCAATTCAATTTTGAAATCAGGAATATAGGGCACCAGACTAATGACTTTTGCCAGCAATAGTGCAATGGCTCGTAGTGCGATATGGCTCGTAGAATAACTCCCCTGGCAGTTTTTGCAAGAAACCTTCCCAAAACAAAATTGATCAGTACGCAGAAATGAAATGGCACATTCTCTGTACTATAACTCCCAAGGGACATCACGTTTCATGTTTACATAAGAAATAGTGGTTTGTTGTACCTTCCTCAATCCTACAAAACCCGGTGGATTTTGAAGGATTTTGAAGGATTTGGAATGTTTACACTCGAACAAGATGGTGAGCAATATGGACTAAATGTACCCAATCAGAAAAGACCACGCAATACTTGAGACCTGGACACTAAAGTACTGCATCTATTGAAATCATGCAAATTCAGTTTTAGGATTCTTGTGAATTCGGGGTGAATTGAGGTACGCATGCATAATTGACCAAAGATGGACCTCATGATCATTTTAAGGATTGTGATCTTTGACAACAAACAAACAATGGAAGAACATGGTGCTTATATGCTGAAATGGGTGGTTACCAAAATGTCTTTACTGTACTTCAAGACAAGAAACTTCAGAGCAGTCAAAGCTAAATAAATAACAGCTTTCTTACAGTACCGGGTACATTATGCAATATTCATTTTACTGTACCACAACATTATATAAAATTCTCTTAAATATACACAAATGATCCAGTCATCTGAAGCAATTCACCTAGGGCTCCCCCTAGTGTCACTGGATCGAACAGGTGACTTGGGTGGTTTGACAGCAGATGCAGCGTTCGTTCATCGGTCGCGGCGGTATAAGGTCCAGCTCCTCGTCGTCGGGGATTTCGTCCAATCGGAAGCCGTCTTTCAAAAGCTGCTGTCTGAGATTCTCCGTCGTCTGGTGTTGCCAAAGAAGTGGGAGAAAAAAATGGGAAAAGCAATTATTTGACTGTCAATATAAGTTGGGAAGGGTTTTAAAATGAAATCAAGGTCAGATTTCTTAGATTTTCTGAGCCACAGAATTCTTAAAATTGTAAGTTAAAGGTAGGGTAAATCATTTGTCATTTGTGAATTTTGTTTTGCTTGAAGCTACAAAAGTGCTCAAAATCTAAAGACGGGTGCTTAACAACTAACCTGATGAAATTTTAGCTCTGTGAATGCTGTTTATTCCGAGACAACAATATTCTAGGATCTCGATTCTCAATTCAAAAGTTGCTGAGTCATGTTTTGAATTGTTTTAAAAACAGCATCTAGCACACATTCTCATTCAGCCAATTGCAGCTAAGGGATCTCACGTACTGAATCAACAAATAATAGCGTGTGTGTCGCGTCATTGCTTGCGGATTCACGGATTCACCGAATTACAAACCAACTACTAACAGAAATTTCCAATTATGCGTCACTTGATGCATCTTTTTGAAATGGCCTTCTTGTATTGTTTCCTTCAAAATGACAGCATGCCAAAAAGAATGTCACAGGGAGTTCATTGCCACTACCATCTTTAAACCAAGTAAGCTTTTCAGCAATAATTTTGTCAGTTACTTTTGGATAGCTCTAAATGATCTACTCTATACGCATGCAATACACTATAAGCATTGGTGCTGTTGTCAGCTTATACGGTTCAGATTGGATATGCTTACAATGAGTATAGGGCCGTAAAATGAGACCCATAGTGCAATACATGTAGTTCTATGCAATCCAATCTGAGGGTACAACAATGTAGTATTTAAGCCATGTACACCCCCCCCCCTCCTCCAGGGCTGGATGTACATTGAAGCACTAGATTTAAGTGAAAATGCAAACATGACTTTTTGAGAGGGGCACTTAAGTATCAATTTCTGTTGTGATTTAAGTGCACATCTCTTAAACAAATGTTGACAAATGCTGCACAATGTACATGTACACTCAGTTTCGGTTCACATTTGGGCTACATCAGTGACATGAAGTTTCTGTTTAATGTTTACCTAGTATCAAACCCCATCTCCACTCCAAATGATTTTGGAGTGAATCAATCAATTATGCTTTAAGTATTATATCTAAAGAAAAACGGGCCTATCTATACTCCAAAATCAGCCGAACCCCAGAATGTTCACATGGTAGGATTTGATGGGAATTAAAATTAATCGGTGATGGGGAAACCGCAGAATGTGACTGTTTCAAAGCTGGCTATTTATCATCAGTTGTCAACTTAGCTAATCATCAACAGCAAACCCTCATCCTCGTGAAGAATCCAAGACACGGGGGCCTCTCTTAGATCCACAGTGTCATGGGACTAGAGATCAAGCCAATTTTTGAATATGGTATGTGATTTAAACAAGCACAAGACGGGCTGGTGTTGATACAGAGAGAGTATTGTACTAGCTGGGTCCATTTTGTTGGGACGTTTTCTATCCCATCTTATGAAAGGTTTTCTTTTGGTAGGAAAATTAGGTCCCAACAATAAGTACTGTTCATTTCAAGGTGTGTGATCCTCACAACTATGGAATGTGAGGAATACAGTAAATTATGTACCCTTTGGAGAAAAAGTATTTTTTTTAATCTTTACTTTTTCATTCTAACAAAGTACAAGACTTTGTAAAAAAAAAAAGCTCTTCATACTCGTACAATCACACAGCGATATGTACTCTTGACAGTTGTTTTAGAGTAGGGCAGTGTTAAATTCTGCATTAACTTGTGAACCAGGGTGGACTTTTGTTAACTTGGAAACTCTTAAACAAAACAATTTTAAAGTTTGGTTGGCATTTTGTCTGAACTTCAAAGCTTGGAGAAAATGTAATTTCCTTGCTACTGGCACCCCATTTGTGCTTCCTGAACTCAACCAAACTAGCTTGGATATCAATGTTTTTCCATACTCCGTCCTGTTAGACCTCACTGCTGTCTATATACACATTAATGTTTAGATTTCACGCCAAATTTTCCCCCTCTCATATCAAATGTCGGCTGCATCATTTTATGCAAATGACATGGAGGCAGCTTCCACACTCGGACCAGCCGAGGCGTTATGATTCATCTCTGTTTTTCCCAGACACCCGATGGCAATGAAATCATCTCGCAGCCACGGCCGTAAAAAAAAAAATCATCGCAGCCAAGCGGCTGCGAAGATTGAGGAGACGGAGAGAAAACACACACCAACAACCGCGACCAGCTCAAGGAACAACCTTGTTAAAACTGGGCCACGGCGCAATCACTCAATGAATAATAATGGAATGTTGGAGGGAAAACCTGACTCTGCCTGCTCTGCCTATAAACACCGTCGGTTAAAACAAGGATGTAATGGGATCCTTGATTGAGTTAGTCGTCTATTAGAGCTCCGTGAGCCCGACGATGCGAGCCTCATCCGCCGATAATTAGCCTCGTGCGGACGTGCCAAAGAGAGATTAGCTTCGCCAAGTTTCCACCCAAACACGAGATTATTAATTAACCTTCTTTTTTTTCTGATTTTCAATCTGGTTCGTAAAAACAAATTTGTAGAGTTTCTTTACCACATGTGAGCTGTGAAAAAAAAATCAAGCCATGAGAGCAGTTAACGAAAATAACAAGAAAAAAGACTTGCACAAAAGAGAATGAAATCAAGAAATCTACTTCTATATCAGGTTTCCAATGAAGTTGCTAGCTGTCCTGATCTTTCTATGGCCTGGTCCTCACCTGAATGGGACATCTTCAAGAAAACCTGTCTTGTCTGGCTTTTTTCAGGTGGCACTGGCTTTTCACCAAGTAACACAATCTTTGCAGAGTTGCCTTACAGAGATGAGGGTCCCACTTAAGCTACACTCATGTTCAATGTTGACACTATGATGCCATGAAATTGCTTTTGGAGAGTGTTTGTTTGTCTTCCTTATCGATACAATAAAGTTACCTTTTAAAAGAAATGGCCGCCCACGTTCCCTTTCCATTACAGTTTCTTTGATACAACATTCAAACCAGCGCTTTTGGCAGAGAAAAGTCTTTCAGGTTTTTTTAGCTCAACTGCAGCCTCATCCTGAGGACCCAACCACCGTCAGAAATATGTAGAAAATCATTTATAAATACTGTAACAGGCAACCTCAACAAACGCATAAATGCTCCATCAAATGTTGCAAACATGGAGAAAAATGATAAAACAAAGCTCAAAGGTGGCACATACAGTACAATTGATACATACATATCAGTAACCAAAACAACAGAATGACATTTCTCCCCCTCCAAAAATCGGACGTAATTTCTCCTTCTTAATTCATAGCTGGGAGCCAAGAAGAAAAAGAACAAAAACACTAATCCTCAGGCAGCCCCAGGACAAATGTGAAACAAATAAATCAACAAAAAAGACAATGTGGGTTCAGGCACACATCTTCTTTAACATTTTGTTCCCCAGACTCTTCAACAAATTGGATTCTTTTTCTATTAATACATTTTCAACTTGTATGTTTTATTTCAACCAAGAAACCCTCCCGTTTACATATTGGCGTCTGCAAACCTCTGAAGACAGGTGTTTGTTTTGGACACCAACGGTCTGCTTTGCGAGCACACTGGCTCCCAGTCCATACATTATTAATACTGATTGCGGGATGGGAACCAGCTTAGCCTGCGAAAAAGGAATTATTGTCTGGCAGCCAATTATTCCAAATTGTAAAGTTATAGTTCATGACCTTAACCACCCCAACCCTTCAAAATCCAACTGCATGCTTTGTAAATTGTTGGAATCTGTTGGAGTGAGTACTGCACAAGTAAAGTGATTATACTTTATAATCAGAGTCCAACAGTTTGGGTGTATGACTTGCCATATGGTGTTGGATTTTGCAAGAGGGAGGAAGGTTCTTAGTAAATCACTCAAGGGGCTAGGGAATAGGGATTAACTAACAATGGGCTGATTTTTTTTCGAGCAATGTCACATTCAGAAGGTAACAAGTAGAAATAGAGTCTACAGATATTTTTCGGGATGAAACTCAAAAATAGCTGAGGTCTTCAACAGACACATCCCGATTACATGTTCCTATTAACACTAAAACCACAGGTGACAAAGCTTTCTCGATTGCTGGCCCCAGGGAGTGGAACAAGATCCCTCAACACATCCGACTTGCATCGTCAATCATCACCTTCAAGAATTCGCTCAAAACACATCTGTTTCTTTAAATCAATTCACCTTCATCTTTACCTCTCATTATCCCCTGGTTCCCTTGAGTTATTCTTAAATTAAGTTTTTTGTTTTGTTTTTGTTTTTTGCCTTGTTTATTTGTAGATTTGTAGTTTTGTAGTGCGCTTTGATCTTTGTTAAAAGCACTTTATAAATGCTCCATTTATTATATTATTATAATGCATTTTTTAGACAAGCTAATTCCATACATAATTGTTACCATAATACAACTACAGCCCAAATAGAGAACTTCCTTCCCATTAAAAAAAAAAAAAACAAGATCCAGAAATAAAAGCCAGCTGGCAGGTCGGCATGCATCTGCCAAGGTTTCGGAGGAAATTGGATGTCAGCAACGACCGGCTACACTCAATAGGCGGAGGATCGTCATAGTTCTCACAGGAGAATGTGATGGGAAGCTAGGTAGCGTGGGGTGAAGGGCATCGTTGGGGATTTGCTCGACTAAAGTACACTGCACCTGACTTTATGGCTTCCCGCACACACAAAGCTTTCAATGTGATCTATCTATTAAACAGGTACACGTACTTGTACAAGAATGGGCACTGCAGTCAAAACGAGTGAATATATAATTCATGTTTACTTTATATGAGCTCATACATGTATAGCATGTGCATCAATACCAAAATCGATTTTAAGGGAATGTACATCATTGGCTTTTGCTGTAATTTTCAGAAATGAACTATTTTGAGGGGTTAGTATAACAGATCAAATATTGTTACATTGACATGTTTGAAGTTTTGTGTTCGAAAATGCTGGAAAAACCAAGAAAAACAAAAATGTTCAAGTAGTCTGGTTCCCTGACTCCACTAAAGATGAAATGAATCAATTTATGGATGCCGGAAAATTGTAAGGTAATGGAACCAGTCTAACTGGCCTGCATCCATTCATGAACATGTAACCAATAGCAAACAAAATTTGGACTGAAAAAAAATGGTAAATTTGGAGCAGTAGCTGAAAAATAGTTAGATTTTTCCAACAGTGGTCGGCCGACCACCATTGGAAATTTATACAAAATACCAATTTTCTTGAAAATGACTTCACACCTGGTGCCATAACTTTACAGGATGCTTTAGACTGTCATTTACCAACATCCTAGTAAGGTATTTCGTAAAAAAATGGTAGTTTTATTTTTCGATGTTTGCAAATGTTGTATATTCCCTTTAATGCTCAATATGTTTATATGCAATGCTGAGGGAAAAGTGGAGAAATTATGTCATTGTGTATTAAACATCTCTAAAATTACTGTTACCATATTTGTGTCCCAATTACTGTTACCATAATTGTGTATCAAAAACTTGCAAAAAGAAAAGTACCTCCAGATGCGAATATACATGTTGTATGAGTTGATGATTATTTTTCTGTTCTTACCTGTGAAGGTGCAGAAGACAAGGCTACTATATCAAATTCATCCTCACTGCAATACAAAGAGAAGAGAAAGAATGCAGAAACAAATTAGTGATCAGTAAGAACATTTATGAATGCAAGAATTTGGTGATGACTGGAATAACATCTGATTACAATGTTTCTGTTGTACAAATGTAAGTAAATATTGTCAATATTGAAACACACTATTATACACAGTATTTTCTGTGACCACTTGATGACCTCTGAGGATTATCCATTTTGAGAATTCAAGTCCAAAAAGTCTCAAGTTGATGACAATTTGATTTTTTGGCCATGTACCTGTGACAAGTATTTAAAAGAACAAGAATGTCTTTAAGATAACCATAATTATGCTTCTGCAAGTGGTAACTTCATTAAGAAGGCACATGAAGGAAGAAATGAGAACACAGAAGAAAATACACCGAGTTGAAACCAGGGCCCAATGACCTGGCTGTGCGGACAGTAATCGAAAAATCTTTGCTACATGTACCTATGGCACAACATTTTGTGTGGTGGGCAAGGAATTTCAGTACTTTATTCACATGCACACATCACTTAACTCAGGATTCTGTGCTTACATCATAGCACAGAATATCTGGGTGCAATTTCATGGCTCTGCTTACCGTTAGTGAAAAATCCCCGCTTACTGTAGCTGAATAATCTGTGCTTACAGTTAGCGTATTTCACAGGTTCGCAAGGAATTTTGGTTTCTGCGCATGCGTACATCCCTTAAAGGGAATATACAACATTTGCAAACATCGAAAAATAAAACTACCAAGTTTTTACGAAATACCTTAATAGGATGTCGGTAAATGACAGTCTAAAGCATCCTGTAAAATTACGGCACCTGGTGTGAAGTCATTTTCAAGAAAATGGTATTTTTGTAAAAATTTCCAGCAGTGGTCGGCCGACCACCGTTGGAAAAACCTAACTATTTTTCAACTTCTGCTCCAAATTTACCATTAATTCAGTCCAAATTTTGTTTGCTATTGGTTACATGTTCATGAACAGGTGCAGGCCGACTAGACTGGTACCCTTACCTTACAATTTTCGGGCATCAATAAATTGATTCATTTCATCTTTAGTGGAGTCAGGGAACCAGACTTCTTGAACATATTTGTTTTTCTTGGTTTTTCCAGCATTTTCGAACACAAACCTTCAAACTTGTCAGTGTAACAGTATTTGATCTACATGTATTATACTAACCCCTCAAATAGTTCATTTCTGAAAATTAAAGCAAAAGCCAATGATGTACATTCCCTTTAACTCAGGATTCTGTGCTTACATGGTTAGCACAGAATATCTGGGTGCAAACTCATGGCTCTGCTTACCGAAAAATCCCTGTTACTGTAGCTTAATAATCTGTGCTTACGGTAAGCGTATTTCACGGGTTCGCAAGGAATTTTGGTTTCTGCACATGCGTACATCCCTTAACTAAGGATTCTGTGCTTACAGGGTTAGCACAGAATTTTTCTGCTAGCGCTGTTAGCGTAAAATGCTGATCGTAAGCGTGGAATTCTGTGGTTAGCAGAGCCATGAAACTTAGCACAGAATGATCACCGTAAGCACAGAATTTGGTGGTTAGCAGAGCTGTGAAAGAAGGCCGAGGCAAGTTCACTTTCCGGTAATCAATCCAGAGGCTGATCAAATGAACGTAACCAGAAACCAATCCCGGTCAACCTGGTCAACCTTCTGTCCAGCTGCCTCAGGTATGTTGCTGCAATTGGTCAAATTAGGGCCACTAGTCATTGATTTGCCCATCAATTTACAAAACAGTTTTTAAAAATAACCTCTTTTTTCCAACGAGACAAATTTCAACAATCAACTAATAGTACATGCATGGTAATTTGAATTGGAAATGCCAAGGTATCTTGCACATAAGGTGGCTGTTACTTTTACTGCAGAAGTAACATAAATGTACACAAAGTATGTAAAATTATCTTCCACATGTATACAATTCCCCCCCCCCCCACCATGACATAAATTCAGGATGTACCATTCATCCGTCCATGTACCAAACATTGCACACAAAAAACACAGCCAAAAAAACAAAGTTGGGTCCGAGATGGAAGGTCCTTCATCACATAAAATGTTCTTTAAAAAAATCCTTCTTTAGAGAAAGAAATGCTTTACTTATGAATCTGCTCCATTTTTTGACATCTCTCGTATTAAAAAAAATGCATTTATCCATTTCAATATCTGTCCATTTTTTACGTGCTTGGCTAAATAGATATAAAATTTTGTGTGAATGCAGTGCACTCATTTACCGGTATGTGGTAAGTAATTTCTAATGCTAACTCAAATGTAATGTAGCAAAATACTCGGAAAAAACCCAACTACTTTTCTTAATGGAATTCCATGTACGTGGGCAACCCAAAATCTATAATTTAAAAAAAAAATAATCAATGGAACAGTTGGTGAATTGAACATAAACATGAGGGAACTTTAAAAAGCCATTAAAATCGGGTTCTTTGGGGATTTTGAGTGGCTTTCGGATCAAGACCTCACTTTGCAACTGCGGGCAATGAATGAGAAAAAAAGAGCTTTGCTAAAATGCATCAAAATGCACTGCACAACGTGCAAACTCATCTTCAAAAAGTGACTCTAACCCTTCAGGTCCTTCAACTGATTTAAACCTCATCTCAAGTGCCTTTTTTTTCTGCTTGAACCAAGGCATTTACGCTTGTAACTAAGGATATATGAAACATAATCCCATCCCTAGGACATTCAGATAACTTTCTGGGAAAAAAGCGCAGACACTTGTCGGAATTGAAGAAAATGCTGGTAGCACTTTTTTTGGTGTATCTCTGAAGATTTCAAAGCAGATTACCGCGTTGCTTTTAGGTCTTTAAACATACCTTTGCATGCATGATTTTTTCTGCATTTAAAAAAAATGTATCTACTTTGAAAGTCAGGAAGTTATTATCCAAGATTAACCCTCCATTGCAAACACACATTCTGTGCCATGTTGTCCGCTCAGTCAAACTCAATCAAGTGACTGTTTTCAACGGTTAAGAGCTCCCAGCCTACATAAAGCAGGATTGACTGGCTGTGACTGTTTATGTACATGTAACTTGATACAGCTATGACTGTAGGTGATTGATAAGCCAGCTGTGCCTACAACTTGTCCGTTTTTGTCTGTTGACTGAATTTGACTAGTCACAGTGCTAGCTTGAAAAATGGTCTTACTGTTGGTGACTAGCCTGTGTAAAAGGCATGGCAGGGGAAGAGGATTGATTTTTTTTGACCGTCTGTGACTGTTCCGGTAGCAGGAGGGTTAACGATAAAATAGTAATTACTTTTACTGCAATTCAGTTTTTAGCCAAATATTCAGTAGCATAGCACTTTTATGGACTTTTAAAAATTTAATCTGCACGAAGTGACACTCCCAGTTACAAACTTCAATCCTGTTTTGCATTCATGCTTGGCAGACATTTATGTAAAGTCTTTTAGGCAGTAATAAATAGTATCCCCTTCTGGATGAAGCCTTTGACACATCTGTGATAATCACGATTGTCGAAAGTGCCGGTGCCTTGGGAGGACTTAAGCAAGAAAGATTCTGCTACACATGATGACAGTGAAATGCCAGACTCCTCAACTCACAAAAGAACAAAGACGTAATAATCCAAACTGATTTCCTCCGAGATTCCACCGGTATCTAATCCAGCACTCATGGCCATGGGCGTAGGGATCCCGTAAGAATAGATCAGGTTGTTGTCTCCGTATTACATTAGGATTCGATTGAACAGGATTTCTCGGAACGCTGATGGGTCTCAAGATACACCCTCGAGTACATCGCAATGTTTGTATTGTGACACTTCATATGCCTTTGAATGCTCACAGGCATAAAGGATCATTGCTTTTCATGCATTCTGTTCGTGTCTAATAACAACCCCACTCAAAATCCACAGAACGTTGAAAACCTAACCTGTTGAAGCTTCAGCTCAGTAATTACAGTTTTCAAGAAAACAGTGGAAAAAACCCTACTCTTTATTCCAAAATCAGTCAATTTACCTACATTTATTAATTTCCTCTAAATGACAGGAAGCCTGGATGGAGTAACTTTATGGGATGTTTAGTACTAGTACGATCTTTAAAGGGAAAATACAACATTTGCAAACATCATAAAATAAAACTACCAAATCATTTTGAAATACCTTGATGGACTGTTAGTGAATGACAGTGTAAAGCATCCTGTAAAATCATGGCACCTGGTATACTGTCATTTCCAAGAAAAGTGGTATTTTTGTATCAATTTCCAACGCTGATCGGCCGATCAGCGTTGGAAACAACTGGCTTTTTTTTTCAAATACTGGCCCAATTGACCATCGCACTTGTTTGCAATCGATTACAAACCTATGAACGGGTACGAACCAGCTAGACTGGTTCCCTGACCTTACAATTCCCCAATGTATGTAAACTGCTCTGTTTCTTCTTATATGGAGTCAGGGAACCAGACTACAGGAAAATGATCGTTTTTCTTGGTTTTTATAGCATTTTCGAGCCCAAAACCTCAAAAAAGTCAGTGTAACTATATTTGCTACACATTTCCAACCCCCCAATTCCATCCATTTCTGAAAATTACAGCAAAAGCAAATGATGTATATTCCCTTTAAGCCAAGTAAGCTTCTTGATAATAATTTCATAGGTTACTTTCTGAATAAATGCAAATTATATGCTTTTAACAAGTAGGGCCTACTGATGTACAGTGCCTTTGTCTAGGTCAATGCACTCTGCTTTTAGCAACCACGGAAGGCCTACTTCAATGAGCTTCCCTAGTTGACTGACTACAGTAGAGTTTGAACCCAAGACCATGCCTAATGATGCTTATGACCAGATCACATACTTTCCCAAACCTTACTTCATTTAAGAGCTTGCTAAATTAATAAAAAAAAAAGTGTTTCTTGCCCTTTTTGTTGGGGGGGGGGGATACATGGAGCCAATGTAGTTGCCCAAATTCTATTTTCAGTGGTTGGGCAAGTGTCTTTTTGCCTTGATCCAACAACAACAAAAACCGGCACAGACAACCAC